GGCCACAAAATTCACTTTTATAAGTAAAATAATGGAAAATTCACTCTCTTACATTTTAATTTTTTCCTGGAAAACTGGCAAAGGGAAAATTGTGAAATTTTTCCAGGAGAAAGAGGAGAGTCAGGAGCTTATTATAGGAAAATTTCAAAATTTTCCAGTGGAAAATCACTCCAGGAAAAATTCCAGAAAATTGACTTTTATAAGTAAAATAATGGAAAATTCACTCTCTTACATTTTAATTTTTTCCTGGAAAACTGGCAAAGGGAAAATTGTGAAATTTTTCCAGGAGAAAGAGGAGAGTCAGGAGCTTATTATAGGAAAATTTCAAAATTTTCCAGTGGAAAATCACTCCAGGAAAAATTACAGAAAATTCACTTTTATAAGTAAAATAATGGAAAATTCACTCTCTTACATTTTAATTTTTTCCTGGAAAACTGGCAAAGGGAAAATTGTGAAATTTTTCCAGGAAAAAGAGGAAAGTGAGGAGATCATTATAGGAAAATTTCAAAATTTTCCAGTGGAAAATCACTCCAGGAAAAATTGCAGAAAATTCACTTTTATAATTAAAATAATGGAAAATTCACTCTCTTACATTTTAATTTTTTCCTGGAAAACTGGCAAAGGGAAAATTGTGAAATTTTTCCAGGAGAAAGAGGAGAGTCAGGAGCTTATTATAGGAAAATTTCAAAATTTTCCAGTGGAAAATCACTCCAGGAAAAATTCCAGAAAATTCACTTTTATAAGTAAAATAATGGAAAATTCACTCTCTTACATTTTAATTTTTTCCTGGAAAACTGGCAAAGGGAAAATTGTGAAATTTTTCCAGGAGAAAGAGGAGCGTCAGGAGCTTATTATAGGAAAATTTCAAAATTTTCCAGTGGAAAATCACTCCAGGAAAAATTACAGAAAATTCACTTTTATAAGTAAAATAATGGAAAATTCACTCTCTTACATTTTAATTTTTTCCTGGAAAACTGGCAAAGGGAAAATTGTGAAATTTTTCCAGGAGAAAGAGGAGAGTCAGGAGCTTATTATAGGAAAATTTCAAAATTTTCCAGTGGAAAATCACTCCAGGAAAAATTACAGAAAATTCACTTTTATAAGTAAAATAATGGAAAATTCACTCTCTTACATTTTAATTTTTTCCTGGAAAACTGGCAAAGGGAAAATTGTGAAATTTTTCCTGGAGAAAGAGGAGAGTCAGGAGCTTATTATAGGAAAATTTCAAAATTTTCCAGTGGAAAATCACTCCAGGAAAAATTCCAGAAAATTCACTTTTATAAGTAAAATAATGGAAAATTCACTCTCTTACATTTTAATTTTTTCCTGAAAAACTGGCAAAGGGAAAATTGTGAAATTTTTCCAAGAGAAAGAGGAGAGTCAGGAGATCATTATAGCAAAATTTCAAAATTTTCCAGTGGAAAATCACTCCAGGAAAAATTACAGAAAATTCACTTTTATAAGTAAAATAATGGAAAATTCACTCTCTTACATTTTAATTTTTTCCTGGAAAACTGGCAAAGGGAAAATTGTGAAATTTTTCCTGGAGAAAGAGGAGAGTCAGGAGCTTATTATAGGAAAATTTCAAAATTTTCCAGTGGAAAATCACTCCAGGAAAAATTCCAGAAAATTAACTTTTATAAGCAAAATTATGGAAAATTCACCATCTTACATTTTAATTTTTTCCTGAAAAACTGGCAAAAAGAAAATTGTGAAATTTTTCCAAGATAAAGAAGAAAGTCAGGAGATCATTATAGCAAAATTTCAAAATTTTCCGATGGAAAATCACTCCAGGAAAAATTACAGAAAATTCACTTTTATAAGCAAAATTATGGAAAATTCACTCTCTTACATTTTAATTTTTTCCTGGAAAACTGGCAAAGGGAAAATTGTGAAATTTTTCCAGGAGAAAGAGGAGAGTCAGGAGCTTATTATAGGAAAATTTCAAAATTTTCCAGTGGAAAATCACTCCAGGAAAAATTACAGAAAATTCACTTTTATAAGTAAAATAATGGAAAATTCACTCTCTTACATTTTAATTTTTTCCTGGAAAACTGGCAAAGGGAAAATTGTGAAATTTTTCCAGGAGAAAGAGGAGAGTCAGGAGCTTATTATAGGAAAATTTCAAAATTTTCCAGTGGAAAATCACTCCAGGAAAAATTACAGAAAATTCACTTTTATAAGTAAAATAATGGAAAATTCACTCTTTTACATTTTAATTTTTTCCTGGAAAACTGGCAAAGGGAAAATTGTGAAATTTTTCCAGGAGAAAGAGGAGAGTCAGGAGCTTATTATAGGAAAATTTCAAAATTTTCCAGTGGAAAATCACTCCAGGAAAAATTCCAGAAAATTCACTTTTATAAGTAAAATAATGGAAAATTCACTCTCTTACATTTTAATTTTTTCCTGGAAAACTGGCAAAGGGAAAATTGTGAAATTTTTCCAGGAGAAAGAGGAGAGTCAGGAGCTTATTATAGGAAAATTTCAAAATTTTCCAGTGGAAAATCACTCCAGGAAAAATTACAGAAAATTCACTTTTATAAGTAAAATAATGGAAAATTCACTCTCTTACATTTTAATTTTTTCCTGGAAAACTGGCAAAGGGAAAATTGTGAAATTTTTCCAGGAGAAAGAGGAGAGTCAGGAGCTTATTATAGGAAAATTTCAAAATTTTCCAGTGGAAAATCACTCCAGGAAAAATTACAGAAAATTCACTTTTATAAGTAAAATAATGGAAAATTGCAGCACCCCTCAAATTTGGATCCTAGTTGCGCTTATATCGATTAACAGATGGCGCCACTATGCAAAAATGGTCTACTACAAGGAGAAAATGATGCTGTTGCCCTGAAAACCCCCTTACCTGTGAGCAGCCGCTTGATGATAAGCCCCATAATGATTATAAAAACCCCCTCCTTCAGCTCCATAATAATCATGCCTCATTCGTTTGGGTGCAGGTTCAATGCTCGGAGAGTACCCCCGGTCTCTAGGCCTGTAATCCCTTGGCCAGTTTTCCCTTAAAATTTCCATTTAAATAATGAAAATAATTGTGACAATAATTATTACCTTTCGACCCAATCTTCACGGGGCCTGGGGGCCCTTTCGGCGCCCCTGAACTTGTCCCGTCTCTTTCTGTCATATTCGTTTTCGCTGTCTCCCATCTTTTTTTAGGCCCCTAAAAATCCTTTGTTTATTAAACCTAATTATTAATGTAGGGTACGAAACCTAATCGGTATAAGTATTTTTTTCCGTTTGTAATTATGTAAATATTATATTTTTTCTTCATTTCTCCAAATAATTCTCTTCCGACTGTACGTATTTATTTTTACATAAGACTGTACCGTCACGGTTGAATAGGCGAGGCGTGCTGGATCTCAGGGTAGCAACAGGGCGACGAAAAGGGAATATCTCTATATAGGTTGATAGAAGAGGACGGTAACAGGGTGGCACCGAATGGCACGGCGCCAGTCGGGAAGTAGCCACGAAGGAATAATATTAAAAAGAGGGGTCAATCGTTAATTGAACGCTGAAGGCGGAAGACGAGGTAAATTTAATTATCAAGACGTATATTTCTAAAGCCGTAAAACGACCAAGACGTGTACCTATACTTAGTTGTGAAGTTGTTATTGTGATTTTCCGTGCCAATTGTATAGTATTTATCAATGACGTATTTATCTATTATCTAATTTATCTATTCTTCGTAAATATTATTAAAATTCCTTATAGGTATTTTCAATGGACCGTTACGTTTGATTTTCTGCTTTTGCCCCAAAATACCCCTAAACAACGATAAAAATCCTACAATTACACTTAACGCTTTCTAAATTTATTGTTTTCGCAAACAGTTATTGGCTAGAAGTAATAAAGAATGATATACTATTAATATGAGATATTTCTTCAATTGGAAAAACTACCCCATCATTATTTTTCTGTAGTTGGCACCCACACATACTAAAGTACAGTTTTTTTTTGTCTATAGGCGTTTCACAAGGAATAGGCTTCATCAGATTTGACAAACATTTAGAAGCTGTACTAGCTATCCAGGAGCTAAACGGTGTCACCCTTGAAGGAGCCTCTAAACCCCTTAAAATAACTTTTCCGGCCGATTCTAGAGGTAATAACAGAACTGTTCCACCATCGAATATTCACCCCACGTCACCAGCTAGAAGAAGTTTTCCAGTTTCTCCGATGAGACGAACTAGGTAAGAATGTTTTTTTTAGTTGATGTTTGTTCCAACAAGATCTCAATGTCAGTCATTTGAGTTATTAATTTATATTTCTGATTTCTTATGTATGATGTATGTTATCAGAAAATCTAGTTCTGACTTCTTATCTTTGTTGAAACAAACTCTAATTATTTGATTATTATTTCGTTTATTTATATTATGGCATGGTGTTTAGGACAAGATGCTGTGTTACCTTAAACTTCAGTGGAGGCAAATGGGGTCGTTAATTTAATGGAACTCGTTCGACTATCACTTTTACAATCACATCGCCTCTCGATAAAACATATCACGTTCTTCCAAAACTGCCATAAAATTATTAAATTTAAGCCCAAAATTGAAAAAATAAAAAAAATAATAACATTGACAATAGAGGTGTCAGAAAAGTAACTATTCGTTACTCGAGTACTCGTTACTTGCCCGGATCCGAAATAACGAATACAAAAATCGCCGGCTCTAATCGAAATTCTCTATGCGCATTGCGCACCAAGCTTATATCAAATAATATACCTAATAAATATTATTATCATCATCATACATAGGTATTTTTGTGTATTCAACCTTCGACCAGATTCAATAATATATTAAAGTCAAAACGAGTATTTGAGTAACGAATATTTACTGTTAAAAGTAACGAATAGTTATGAGTAGTCTGTATTTTACATCTCTAATTGACAATGCTATTTATAGGTTATGTGACTTTGTTTGTCGACTTTAGGCTTTGAATATAAAACAACAGGAAGGAGCATAAGCTGGAATCTGCGCGACCAAAATATGTATGGAGGTTGCATATGGCCGACTAGTATTTCCGGTTTGGCAGGGGTGGCGTATATTTATTTAAATATGATTGTCAATATTATGACTCACTAATTCCAATACACTTAAAACCGCTAAAATCCATTAATGAGGACACAGGGAACCGCACCAAAACAAATGACGAGTCCAAACTTGGAGGCTCAAAATGGCGGCTTCCGTTGCAGTGACAGATAGACAACGCTCCTTCTTGTAGTTTTATATTCAAAGACTTTAGGCATTCCAGGTCTCGTGACTTTTGACAGGTCCGCCATATTAGCTGAGGGACAAACAAAGCCTATAAATCATATTGTTTACAGTGTTTTTTGAGTTTTTGCGTTTTTTGATTTGTTCAATAGGGTATGTCCATGTGACGTCACAAGTGAGTTTGACAATTGCCCTGAGGTAAAACAAATCATTTATTTACATTGGTGTAGATTAGGCCGGTTATGTTTTATACAGTTTTCACAGTTTTTTAAAAAGTTTTGGTGTTATTTTGTCTTAAAAAAGTTAGAGCGGAGTGTTTGTGTTCTAGTCTATGTGGTGGTTTATGCAAAAGTTTGCTAGGTTTTCCCATAATGGATTAAATTCAGGTTTTTTCCAACAAATATCAAAACCAAGTATCTCAAGAACAAATATATAAGTATAGTTACTCTATAATTCAATCTATTTTTCTGTCAAATCTTCTCTTTTAACAACATTAATCAATTTTTTTCTTCTTTCTTGAGCTAACAAATCAAACCTCCCATTGTTATTTAAAATTGATGGAAACCTATGGAAGGATATTGTATCCTTTGCACTATACTGCCACCAGTGGCGGCTCGTCAGAGGAGGCAGGGGAGGCTAAACCTCCCCCAAAAACTTGGAAATTCAATCTCAATTTTTTATTCCTGATTTATAATTAAAATAATAATTAACAAATTACACTTTCCAATTTTCAATATTTCAATGTAATTTAGAAAAATTTGACAACATTATTTCAATCAATTCCCGCGCTTCCATGACAAATATCTGTGAATCTGGGATACTCAGTAATACCGGCCCGAAGGGCCGGAGTTATATGGAAACCCGGCCCGAAGGGCCGGAGTTATATGGAAACCCGGCCCGAAGGGCCGGAGTTATATGGAAACCCGGCCCGAAGGGCCGGAGTTATACACGAGCTCGAAGGGCCAGAGTTATACGCGAGCCCAAAGGGCTAAAGTTATTTTAATCACGGGACTCAGTCAGCGAAAATAATTTGGAGCCAATCAAAAACCGAGAATATTTAAAATGCGATTTTTAGCGCCCAATCAAAAAGTCGGGAATATTCAAAAACTTTAGTTTTATCAAATTGGCTTTGGAATGTTGGTTTTCTTAAGATTTTGACTTTTTTCAGAAAACGGTGGTTTTTGCAAACATATACTACTTTATCATTGTCTTTGTCTTACTCACTATAATCAATAAGGAAACCTTTAAATGTCATTTTCATTGAAATTAAACTAAAAACAAGTTTTCTATGATTTATTTGGAGTATTTTAATTATTATAATCATTAATTATTAAATTGAATTTCAAACAAAAAAGCCTTTTAAAATGTTATTTTTGTTTTCCGAAATGAGATGTGGCAACGTTGCTTTTAGTCAGTGGCGGCTCGTGACTATTTCAAGTGAGGAGGCTAAAAGATTTTCAGTGATTTTGAGTAGATCTTACGAGTTTTTCTGGGATTTTGACCAACTTGTATACAAATGTTCACAGTGGCGGCTCGTCAGAGGAAGCTAAGCCTCTCTCAAAAACTTGAAAATTCAATCTCAGTTTTTTACTCCTCATTTCTAATTAAAATAATAATTCACAAATTACACAACAGAATTCCAATTTTCGATATTTCAATGTAATTTAGAAAAATCTGACAACATTATTTCAATCAATCCCGTGCCCTCACGACAAAAATCTGTGAATCTGGGATACTTAGTAATACCGGCCCGAAGGGCCGGAGTTATATGCGAGCCCGAAGGGCCGGAGTTATACGCGAGCCCGAAGGGCTAAAGTTATTTTAATTACGGGGCACAGTCTATAATTCTATTGGTCAGTGGATAATTTGGTTGAATAATTTGGAGGCAATCAAAAATCGGGAATATTCAAAATGTGATTTATAGTTGATATTCCGAGTTTTAGTTTTCTCCAATGTCAGGGCCGGTTCTAGCTCTTTGGCCGCCCTCGTGTAAGAGCTTGTTTTGCCGCCCCTCATGAGAAACTTTTTGCTTCGGGGGAAGGGAATTTATCATAATATTCTATTTCTAGATTTGAAAAAAAAAACATATGGCAACACTGCTTATGATACAACAAACGTCAAAAAATTGAAATTTCAAATCTTGGGGTTTTTTGACAATCGATACAAAAGGTTTCTTTTTGTTTCAAAGATTACAACCCGAAGGGCCGGAGTATTGAAATCAGTTGACAATGAACGGAATTGTTCGGATAAAACTTTTGTCATCAATATCGACAGATGTCACCTGTCAAATTTGACACATGTTCGACTTTTTCCCCGCTCTATTATAAAAACTACGAAAATCAAACCCCGGTACAAGGCAGTTTCGCGACGCCAACTATCGATTTGTGTAAAAAAATATTGACAGCTGTCAACGTCATATTTTGCGAATTTTGAGAAAAAAAAGTGGTAGAAAATGTTCCCCGGACCCCAAAAACTTTAAATAAAAATTCCAAAAAAAAAAAACAACGAAAATGACATTCCAAAACCTACTTGATAAAACTAAAGTTTTTCTCACTTACCCCGTTAAAACACTGGAAATTTTTGGTGGAAAATGAAGAAAACTCAAAGCCTCGTACTTACTTTAAATCAGTTTTCTCGACTGAAAAAGCCCCGGAAAAGTGGAAATTCGAAGAAAAACTGAATAAAAATGTAAACACGTCAATTGAAAATGGCCGACAACCACAAGCGATGCTGCCACATCAAAAGCATTTTAAATGGGATTTTGCTAATTATGGCATTTAAAACTAGAAATTTTTACTAAAAAATGAATAAAACTTAAAGCCTCGTACTTTAAATCGGTTTTTCCGACCACAAAAGCCCTGGAAAAGCGGACAAATCTAAAGAAAAACCTCTAAAAATGACATTCCAAAGCCTACTTAATGAAATTTGAGTTTTTGTCACTTACCCCATTGGAAAACTGGGAATTTTTAGCACAAAATGTAGGAAATTCAAAGCCTCGTATTTCTAATTGGTTTTCTTGACTGAAAACGGCCTGGAAAAGCGGAAAATTCGAGGAAAAACTGGATAGAAATGTGAACACGTCAATT